TGATCTGTATCTTTCTTTCCTCTTTTTTTCTTTCCCTCCTTTCCTTCCTCTTTCTTTCACTAGAGATTTGAACCTAGGGCCTTGTGCATGTTAGGTAGCACTTCACAACTGAGTCACATCTCCACTCATTTTTATTATTATGAGAAAGGGTCTTGCTAAGGTGTCCATAGTGGCCTTGAATTTTGATACTTCTGCCTTAGTCTCCCCAATAGCTAGAATTATAGGTATGCACCACCCACCTAGCTCTGTATGATTCTTGGGAACAAGCAATGGATTTAAGGCTTTAAGAACTAAAGAAATAACCTCAAAAGTAATGTTGTAGATGAGAAACTGTACACAATGATTCTGTGTTTGAACTGTTTAGGCAACAGAATAGCACAAGGCCGTAGGTTTAATCTTCAGTGAAAGAAAGAAAGGAAGGGAGAGAGGAAAGAAAGTGTGACATGCCTCGTGTGCCTATGCTTTTTCCTGGGAGAGGACAGCAGCCTGCTGGAGGGCCGACTGGACACAGAGTCTATACTGGAGTCCCAGGTCTATGGCCTATGGCTGACCTTTAGGATGCTGGCCAAACCCCACGTGACTCTCTCAGTTCCTTCATCTGTCCTAAGTGTCATGAAGCACTTCCTAAGGCACTGTGCTGGTCGTTGGGCAGCTCCAGATAAACTGTGCAGAAGGTCTCAATTCTGGAGCTCATGAGTTGCCTAAGATTGTAAGCATCCTCCTAGAGACCACAGCTAGACCTAAGATGTACAGTCACTGGGGTTCTCAGGATGTGGGAGCTGTCTAGATGTTCTCTTGTGAACCCCTCACCCCCCCGCCACAAGTTCTTTTGTCAGGGTCTTGGCTCTGTGGCCTCAAAAGCATGAGCTGTCCTGGGTGTTCTGTGGGCTCCATGTTGGTGTGTGAGCTTGGTCCTTGCTCCATTGAGGCCCCTCTGCTGTGTTCTCCTTTGTTCACAGGCTTGGGGAGCCCATTTCCTGTACTCTGGACAGTAGGATGCTGTTTGGGCCTGGGGCACAGCTCCTTCCTTGCAAATGCCAAGTTGTTCTGGAGAAGCGATAGGATGGTGATGTTTGACAGCATGACTCTCCACCAGTGGGGGAAACATGAACAACAGGGTCTTGAGCCCAACTCTGTCCAAACCTTTCTTTAGCCAAGGGCCCTGTCTTTACCTTTTACCCTTTGGGATCTGTATGGCTACAAGATGTACTTGGGTTCTCAATTTTATTTTTTTTGGAAATGAGCCCTAAGTCTTGATTTTATGATTTGCCATATCATTTTTGGAAAGTATCATCAGCCACAAACTCAGCAATGGGTTATTAAAAAAAATCAAACAAAGTGGTGTGAAAGCAAGTGCCCTGTGTTCCCTGGAGGACCCCTCCTCCATCTTGTACGTGCCTAGATCCAAAGTGTCGACACACTTCCTTCCTGCCTTCTCCATTGGGCCCAGTTCCTTGATGGCGGCAGAGAGCCAGCATCCTGTGTGGGGGCGGCCTGGTCTCGAAGCCTGTGTGGAGGGCGTTGGCTGAAGCATTGATGTGCATATTGTATTCAAAACTGACAGGTGCAGTCACATCCCTAGCCGAGATTGAAGGCTGAGGTCACCAGCACAAGGAGGACTGAACTCAGAGCTAAATGAGGCCTTGGCGCAACAGGAACAGGTCTGCACTTCACAGGAGGGGACAGGGAGCTCCCCCTCCAAAGTACAAGGTGATCTAGAAGAACTCAATTTACACCCTTGGCTCCTGTGGGCTGGGGGATCAGCAGAGGGCGGGATAATCCCAGCTTCTCGAGCAGATGGTTTCTGACTACCGCTTGACCCAGTTCCTCCCAGCAGATGACTGGCAGTAGGGCTGACAGCTCTGCCACCAGGGGAGACAAGTGTGGACCCTTTTCCCACCAGTGCGGACACGGTGGCATTTGCCTGTCCCTGCTGCCAGGTGAACAGGCCGGATGCTGTACCTTTCCCAATCCCTGCCTAGCCTTCTCTTTCCCCAGCCCTCAGGTGAGGGCTGCTGTGGGGCAGGCCAGGAATGCTGCTGCCCAGGCTTGTGCCAGGGGGTCGGGGGTGTTAAAGCCTTCAGTGGGCTTAATGACTCCTGTTATTCATTCAAACGACAATTCCTTCAACAAGCTCTCCCTAGTGGTCTGTCAGGTCTGACACCAGATAGGACCCAGGAGACCCAGTCCCTGCACTGAAGACAGTTGAGGAGCTAACAACCATGTAAATCACTGTTTGGGGAACAAGAGGGCCTGAAAGGGCTTTACCGATACAGCAGATACTGGGCTGGGTCCCAAAGACTGAAGAAGAGTATGCCAAGCAGTCAGTGAGTGACTCTGGTGATGCGGAAGGCCAGACTGCATGTGAGCCTGGTGAGATATGCAAACACAAGACAGTGGGCCCAGCCTGACTTTGAGCATCCTCTTCCACCCCAGGGACCACGCTTCAAGAGAGGGCAGGTGATGGAAGGCAGATGGGGGCAGACAAGAACGGGACACATCCAGAACATCAGAAGAGGGCAGAAGGGCTGCCGAGAGTTGAGAAACTCAGATCCGCCCCAGTTTTGCCCAGCGGACTTTGGGTCGGTTCCTCAGATTGGGAGGGAGGGGGCGCTCCGCCTCCAGACTTCCCGACCTTGGCGGCTTTGCAGGGCTGCTGTCCTAGCCAAGCACCACAAGAAAAATGTTGGCCTGAGAGTTTCTCTATTAAGGTGGGGGGGGGGGGGCTCCCTCCGCCTTGGTGCCCCTCAGTGTTTGAGGAAAGCCAGAACGACTTCCCACTACACTGCTCCCTTGCAATCCTGTCTGTTGCCAATGGAGGCCCCAGTCATAGAGAAGAGGCAGTGTGCTCCTGAACCGGGGCATTGCACCCGGTGGCCACTGTCCTGCTGCTCCAGACCCAGGTCGGGGGATGAGGACCAGTGGAAGGAACGTATTGCACTCGGGGTTCTGGACCTGGCCAGGAATCAGGCTTCCACTGACAGCGTGTTTCTTGTGTGGTGGCCAGAAAATGAAACCTGGAACCCGTCATTCTTGGGTTCTGTGAGCTTGCCTTGTCACATTTTGGGGTCTCTAACCAGTGTGACATAGATGTGATAGAGCCCCTTTGTAGCTGAGGAAGCAGAGACCAGAGAAAGTGAGGACTCTAGCCGAGGGGCCTCCCACAAAGCGGGCAGGGTCTGGCCCTTGACTGGAACCTGCACTTGACAGGCCAAGGTTTGTTAAGGTAGGTTCGGAGGTGCGGGAGACCCCCGCCTGCCCGGCGAGTCCTGGAACTCAGCATGGCCACGGTGCCTGAGGCCGGGTCCTCGGACAATCCAGCAGAGGTAGCACAGGACCGGTGCCACTGCCTCCCTGGCTCTGCAGCCCGTGGGAATCAGCCTCATCCTGGACTCTCCGCAAGGGCACTGCTGCCAGGAAGCAGCTTCTAGCGGAAGAACCCGGGGGTAGCGCCCGGAGGTCGCACCCTCGACCTCGCCTACCCAGGCCCGTTCGCAAAAGAGCTCCTGGAAGAGCCAAGGGCAGCTGCGACGGCAGGAGTCGCTGTATGGTCCTGGAGAGGGAGGGACGGTGGGGGTAAGTGCACCGATCACGCCTCTGGAGTCTGTCGTTGCTGCCCGCTGCACAGCTGGGCGAGGGTCGGGGGCACCCACGTGGTAGGAAAGTTTCGAGGCAGCAGAAGTGGCCGGGCAGTGCAGGGTGGTTGGGTCGGGGACGCAGAAGGCCTACTTGCCCCTGCTGGCGGAGGCAGAAAGCAAAAAGCGGAGGCGAGAGAGGGTGGGCGGGGGAGCAGGCTGCACCGACCTGAGCAGATTCCGCCTCCCCCTCCGCCCCCGGGAAACCCGAGTGGGTTGGCGCGGACCTCTCCTGCCGCACGGCCAGGACGACACTCCTCCGCCCCCCTCTCTGCCGACGTCTATCTCCACGCGCGCGCACATATGGAGATTGTGCGGCTTTTTTACCCCTCGGGATAAAAAACCGGGAGCGTAAAAGAGAGGGCAAAGCGAAGAACTCCTCCTCGGCGTGCTCCACTCTCCGCGCACGGCCAGCGCAGAGACGCTGCCGCCACCGCCCGCTCTCCCACGGCCCTGCGGCTCGTGCGAGGGCACCGCTCCTGTGGGAGCCAGAGACTTTTGGGGGATTGAGCTGACCTCGCCGCCGCGGAGGCAGGTTGAAGACACGGGCGAGAAAAGCCCCGCGCCGAGCCGAGCCGGCCCGTGCAGGAAGGCAGGCGGACTGAGGGAGCGGGCGAGGCAGCGCGGAGGCCGGGGAAACGTGCCGCGGCCGGCCCGCCTGCCGCTCACCCGTGGATGCGGCGCTGCGAGAGCCGGGAGACAACTTTGCCGCGTGACGCGCCGAGAGGACTGCAGGGCCCGCAGCCGAGGGCTCGGCTCCGCCTGTGAGCGGGCCCGCGCGGCGGCGCTCCCCGGCACCGCGCTCGCTCGCGCCGCCGCCCGCCGGTCCGCGGCGGGGACGACCTGCTCGCTGGTCGCCGACGCTGGTGGCTCGTCCCCGGCGCGAAGCAGTGAGGGCTAGGCGCTCAGGTGCCAGCGGGGCCCCGCCGCAGCGCCCGCCGCAGCGCCGCGCCAAACCGTGCCCGGCTGCGCTCGGGCGACTCCGGCACCTCCGCTTCCGTCTTGACCAAGTTGCGCGGACCGGCCCTTTCGCCACCTTCCCGGCTCGGCGGCCAAGCCTCTGCCGCCACTGCTTTCGCTTCACCCGAGTGAGGACTGCGGGGCCCCGACGCGGAGAGGATGGACCGAAGGCTGCAGATGCTGAGGCGCCCCGAGACGCCCGTGCAGCAGTGACCGGTCAAGCGAACCCGGCCCAGCCTCGCGCGGCCCTTCGACCCCGGAGCCCGTACCCCACCGCGCGGGAACCCCGGCGGTCGGTCCGGTCCCCTCCCCCTGCGAGCCGGCGGCGGCCCTCCCGGCAGGCCGGCGGGCGGAGGCCCGGGCGGGCGGGCGAGGGCGAGGGCGAGGGCGAGGGCTAGGGCGGGGGCGGGGCGGGGCGGTGCGCCCGGAGCCCGAAGCCCGGAGCCGGGCCTGCGCTTGGCTCGCTCGCCTCGCGGCGGGCGCCTTCGTCGCCAGCGGCGCACCATGGACGGGCTGCCCGGTCGGGTGTTGGGGGCCGCCTGCCTCCTGTTTCTGGCGGCCGGCTGGCTGAGGCCTGAGGCCTGGGGCTCCCCCACACCCCCGCCGTCGCCCGCCGCGCCGCCGCCGCCCCCGCCGCCCGGAGCTCCGGGCGGCTCCCAGGACACCTGTACGTCGTGCGGCAGCTTCCGGCGGCCGGAGGAGCTGGGCCGGGTGGACGGCGACTTCCTGGAGGCGGTGAAGCGGCACATTTTGAACCGCCTGCAGTTGCGGGGTCGGCCCAACATCACGCACGCTGTGCCCAAGGCCGCCATGGTCACGGCTCTGCGCAAGCTGCACGCTGGCAAGGTGCGTGAGGACGGCCGCGTGGAGATCCCGCACCTCGACGGCCATGCCAGCCCGGGCGCCGACGGCCAAGAGCGCGTCTCAGAAATCATCAGCTTTGCGGAGACAGGTGGGTCCGGCCTTCCGGTTAAGTGGTTTGTGCACCCTCCCTCCCTCCTTTCGTCCCTCCCTCCCTCTCTCCTTGTGTTTGCCAGCTCCAGCCATGGTCGCGTCTCCGCCGCATCCCGCGCGCCCCGGGGCAACCTATCTTTTCTGCGAGGCTCTGTGGCCTCCGCCTAGGTTGCAGTCCATTTCCCTCAGGCCTCAACCCCATTTCTGTTCCCTGATCTCCACTGCCATGAGCCCTACCCTCCACCCCTACTCTCAGGAATTGGGCCCCAGCGCCTCTGGGCGCACGTCCTCCTCTTGGCAGATGCGCGCGGCCCTGGCTCTGCGGGCACTTGCTTGGTGATTGCTAAATGTTTTTGTTTCCCACGATCGGAGTGTAGGCTTAGCAGTGTGGATAGAGATGTGTGTGCTTGTTGATATACGTGGGCCGTAGGAGTGTGTGTGTGTGTGTGTGTGTGTGCGCGCGCGCGCGCGCGTTCTCGCGTGTGTGTGTGTGTGTGCCTGCCTGAGAGGCCCCCGAGGCTGCTTCCATTGCTGGGCGGCGTGGGCTTGCCAGGATTGCTGAAGTCTCTCCGGGGAGAGCTAGGCAACCTCTCTTCCGATTGTGTGGGCACCAGAATCAGGCGGAAGGCAGGCTTCTCAACAGGTCCATCATTTAAGCAGAGAAAGATGCGGCTCAGGGGACATCCCCGTGCCTTTCCTCTTGCCTGGCAGCAGCGACAGCCCTCTGGTCAGAGAGGGGCAGAGTTGGTAGTTAACAAAGGGTAGGACTCTTCTGGAATTTTCTCCTGGCCCCAGATTGCAACTCCCTATCGCTATTGAAATCAGGAAGAGAAAATCTTTAAGAAGTTTAATATGAGGACGAAAATGTGCCTGTGCTGAAATGCTGCAAGTGCTTTTGACTCCGCTGTCCTTTTCAGGACTTGAATGAGCCAGGCTGGCTTTTGTGCCTGGAGCTCAGCTGCATTTGTGCAGAAGGGACTGCAGAAAAGGTCGGAGAGGGGGACTGCCGGGTGCAGTGGAGGGGGGCAGGCAGGGAATCTGTGAGAGGAGGGGGAATTGGTCGTGCCCCTGGCTGCAAATCCCCCCTCTCCAGGCAGCAGGAAGACTGTTCTGGTGGCTCCTGGGGATGAAAAGGGATGAAAAGTTTTGCATGGCCGGGTGTGGAGAAAAGCAAAGACAATCAGGGTTGGTTTGTGCTTAGAAAGAAATGCATTGCTGTTTTAGCTGTCTACCGGAGTCAGGGAAAGCTCAACATGCAATTAGAGGGCTTGGATTAAAAGGTGCTTTGGGGCCCAGGGTAGAAATGCGATTCGAGAAGGTTGAGGAGGCCTTTTGGTCCTGATGGCACAAAATGACAGCGGGGGCTGTTATATTTCTGGTCCATTTCTCGGAGCCAGCTCTTTGACTTATAAATAACAGATTCAGGTCACAGGCAGCTTGTCCAAGACCAGCTTTTAAGGCTGCAGTTTCCCCCATTTCGAAGTCAAATGTCAGTGTTATTAGAGGAGCCAGGCAGAGTCTGAGAAGGGGGTGAGGGCAGCCATGGTGGAAGGTTTGATAAAACCTGCCATGTCCACAGAGTTGCCTTATTCCTGGAAAAAAAAAAAAAAAAAAAAAAAAAGAAAAAGTAGAGATTGTTGGAGGGAAAGGTCACAGAAATACAGGATGGGCTGTTATAGCTGAACTTCTTGTTGAATTATCTAGAAAAGTAACAAACGAACCCCAATTTTCCTAGGAGATTTTGAACGTGCATGCATTGAACAGGAAGCCAGGGTCTTGTCAAACAATTGGTCTTCAGGTTTCAAGGCTGAATGTCCTGTCCCTTGGAACTACTCGGAAACAAGGGCTGCACTTTGCAGCCTGCAAAGCACACGTCCCTATGTCAGAAATCTGAGCAGAGCTTGCTTGTTTGCAGTGGAGGCTCCACTGGGGGTTGAAGCAGATCATACTTAGGTAAACACTAGAAAGAGGCGGTAGGTGGCTCAGCTTGATTTTGCAATGCCCTAAGTTCACAAAAAAAAAAAAAAAAAAAAAAGCTGTGCTTAAAACAACCCACCACCAAATCTTCTCTGTGATCCTCGTTTTGTTTTGCAGATTTCACAGATACCCATAACAACTTGTTAAGATCTTGGCCTCCTGACAAGTTCCTCTGTTGAGCTTTGAGGCCTGACAGCCTGTCTCTAGGGAACCCTGGGCTGGGAGAGGTGAGGCAAGGTTTTACAGGCTCGGGACCTCCAGCTCCAACCCAGTCTGTGTTTCTCAATGGGAAATGATGTTCTCTGCCTCTCCTAGGTTACAGGCAGAGGTCCGGGCCCCTCGAGTGGTATTTCTGGTCCGTAACGTCTTCCAGCTGTGTGGATAGTGTGTGCTCAGCACCAAGCAGCCTAGTGCATTCCCCTTGTCTCGTGTTCTGTGGAAGTTAACTCAGCCTGTTCTCCCCCTTCCCTGCAGATGGCCTGGCCTCTTCCCGGGTCCGCCTGTACTTCTTCATCTCCAATGAAGGCAACCAGAACCTGTTTGTGGTGCAGGCCAGCCTATGGCTTTACCTGAAACTCCTGCCCTATGTCCTGGAGAAGGGCAGCCGACGGAAGGTGCGGGTCAAAGTGTACTTCCAGGAGCAGGGCCACGGTGACAGATGGAATGTGGTGGAGAAGAAGGTGGACCTCAAGCGCAGTGGCTGGCATACCTTCCCACTCACAGAGGCCATCCAGGCCCTGTTTGAGCGAGGTGAGCGTAGGCTCAACCTAGACGTGCAGTGTGACAGCTGCCAGGAGCTGGCCGTGGTGCCGGTGTTCGTGGACCCAGGCGAGGAGTCACACCGGCCCTTTGTGGTGGTGCAGGCCCGGCTAGGGGACAGCAGGCACCGCATTCGCAAGCGAGGCCTAGAGTGCGATGGGCGGACCAACCTTTGTTGCAGGCAACAGTTCTTCATCGACTTCCGGCTCATTGGCTGGAACGACTGGATCATTGCACCCACTGGCTACTACGGGAACTACTGTGAGGGCAGCTGCCCGGCCTACCTGGCGGGGGTCCCAGGCTCTGCGTCCTCCTTTCACACGGCGGTGGTGAACCAGTACCGTATGCGGGGCCTGAACCCTGGCCCTGTGAACTCCTGTTGCATCCCCACCAAGCTGAGCTCCATGTCCATGCTCTACTTCGATGACGAGTACAACATCGTCAAGCGTGATGTGCCCAACATGATTGTGGAAGAATGTGGCTGTGCCTGACAGTGGCAGGCAAGGGTGCGGCAGTGGTGGTGCTCAGGGGACAGAGCCCCCTGTGGGGGGAGGAGGTGCACAGTGGGCTGAGCACGCTCATTCCATTGGGCTGCAGAGGGAGTCAGGGTGGGGCCCGAAAGCATTTTCTGCTACACTGTAGAGCAACCAGTCAAAACCAGAGGGTGAGCCCTCAACTGACATGAGACTTTCAAATGTACACGTAGACACGCACAGCCAGACGCATCCTGCCACCCACACGGCAGCCTCCAGGATACCAGCAAGTGGATGGAAGACAAATGGCAGCTTAGCTACCAATGCTTGTCAGTGGGAGAGAGTGGGGTGAGCAGCCACCATCCCACCAGCTGGCCCGGCCATCCTGAATTGCGCCTTCTGAGCACACGTAAAGCACAAAGACAGAGACACTGAGAGAAGGAGAGAGAGAAAGAAAGGGAGAGAGGAGAAAGAGTGCCACTAAGAAGAAAAGCAGGGTGGGGATTGTGCAGCCAGGTAGAGGGCTGTGCACTCTGTGTCCCCTGACTGTATTGGACCTGCTAACTGCCACAGCTCCTGCTGGAAATGTTTGCTTCCTTCCTACCTAGCGCTCTGCTTTGAGGGGAGCGGTCTTTCTACACCCTTGAAAAATGGCCCAGGAAGGACACCACCTGTCAGACCATGACATGTCATTGGGTCTCTGACATGACTCTGTGTGTGAGTGTTTGTGTGTGTGTGTGTGAGAGAGAAAGAAAGAGAGAGAGCGGGAGAGAGAGAGAGAGAAGAGAAAGAGAAAGAGAAAGAAAGATTGTGGGGTGGGGAGGGAGGGAGAGGAGATGGATCTCGATGCTTTAACTGATCTCCAACAGCTGACAGATCATTTGTGCCAGCTGTAGAACTGAAAAGAGACTGATCTATCACTTATCACTTTTAAGTGAAAACCCCAATTGTTCTAAACAAGAAGAAAAAAGTTGCAATCTGTGCCCTTTGCTGGAGACATTCCTCTAGGGCTGCTTGGGGAGGGGGCAAGTAACCACTGTCAGAGGGCTGAGCCCAGAGGAGGAGATGGTGGGGTGGGGGCATTCTGGAAACACAGATAGGGGGTTTCCCAGCACGTGGTGGGAAAGGGGAGCTGCTTGGCTGGTCTTGGAGAGACTAGGAAGGCTTTCAGTTGCTTTGCAGAAATTGCCCATATGGGTGGGTCCTGGCCAGCTGAGCTGGCTGTGGATGTGGCCCTTGCCTGCTCACCTGCCTGCCCACCTGCCCCGCATAGCACTTGCAGACCTGCCTGAACGCACATGATATAGCACTTGCCGATCTGCGTGTGTCCAGAAGTGGCCGTGGGAATAGTGCTGAACTGGCTTTCCCCAGACATGTCCAAGTGCCACATGAACTATGCAATTTAAAGGGTTGACCCACACTAGGCGAAACTGGACTCGTACAACTCTTTTTATATTTTTTATACTTGAAATGAAATCCTTTGCTTCTTTTTTAAGCGAATGATTGCTTTTAATGTTTGCACTGATTTAGTTGCATGATTAGTCAGAAACTGCCATTTGAAAAAAGAAGTTATTTTTATAGCAGCAAAAAAAGAATACAGTTAAATGTATTATACATAATTTTGGAACCAAAGAGGCCAACAGATCAGTTTTAATTTTTATTAGATGGTGAGGCCATCTTACATGAGGTAGATGTTCTGAACAATCCTTTGAGTGGCCTGCCAATGTTTCAGGGTATAAATGGATTTTGTTTATTCAGTTTGATGTGTCTTTTCTATCCTCACACACCCAGAAGGTAGAGTAAAAATGACTGGTAGAATGCAGGTGTGTATCCTTAAATCCTCACCTTTATGTTTATTTAATAAAGCTCCCCTTAGGTTCTGTTTCATAATAATTTAAAACCAAACACTTTCCTCATAGACTGGCTGTTAAAGTATTTTGCGTTTGTGTACAGTTTAAGAAAATAAAAGATTGAGTGCCACAGGCTTCCTGCCTTGTGTGATGTCTGGGGCGGTGGGCCGGGACTGGAGGTGAGCAGCTGGGAGGAGGGTCAGCCCAGGTGTCCAGCTTCGATGCCAGCAGCTCCACGGCTCACTTTAGGCATTCTCTGAGTCCTTGCCATGAGATGTATGTCACTCAGAAGCTAGGAAAGATGGCAGAAGATCAAAATGAAGGACAATTAGCAAATTCATGAATTACACATTTGTTTACCCTTCTAGTCCCAAGACTAATTATGCTTCACTGAGGCTGTGTCTATTACCATTTGAAAGTCTCCATCCCTGGAAGTAAATGGGTGGCCTGGCCAGGGAAGCCCCCTGACCTCGCACTCACCTCCAGGTGCTCATGCAAGCGATGGGAACCCAGGAGGGGCTTCCCCCTTGGGATAGGAAGGTGAACAGAAAGGCTGCCAGTGTGGCAATAATCCTTTCCCTTGGGCAGGGGGAGCACTGAGCTGGTGGAAAGTGTGCTGCTGGTAATGACAGCTTGGTTGCAACCTCAGTGTGAGAGACTTGTGCCATCCTGGTTTACGCGGCCTCTGTACCACACATCTTTATTTCCAAAAGTTGGGACCAGAAGCTCGGAGAGTCTAAGGCCATGGCCAACCTATCTGCTTCTCTAAGAGAACCACAGGCCTATGGCCTCTGTTATTTGGTGCTGTGCAGGCCCAATGGGGTACTGTCCTAGGTCTGTGTCACTTGTCTTCCCAGGAAAACCTTTGGACATTTGGGATTCCCTGACCCCATTAAGATAACAATTGGGAAACTGAGGGACGCCAGATAGCTACAGGCAGCATCTTGATTCACACTGCTGCCTGATGGCAGGGGCCTTCTTCTGGCCCCTGTCTTTCCATTCTTTGCCCTGCCAGGAGAGTGTATGCTCTGTTCAGCTGTTCCTGGGGGCTTGTGTTGATCTGAAAAGCTGTGAGTCAAGTATAAACTTCACAAGGGCAAGAAGGAAAATGCTGTAATGTCAGGGCTGGCCTCGTCATTTTGGGGAGTATGCCTGACCCACTTGTTTCCCAGCCCTGTGTGCTGGGTCCAGCTGTGGATGGTTCCAAACCCTCAATCCATTCCCTCCCTCTATATATTTTTTCTGCAGGTGGAAGCCAGGAGGGGCAGCATGACCAGCGGGGCTCTGCTCTCTGGGTACTGAGCACTTGTAGGTGTCTCCTAGGGCTGGATTTTCCTGGTACTTTGGATGCAGCAGGAGCTCGAAGGAGGGCTCCACAGTCGTGAGGCTATGGTATCCAGCAGGCATTATCCCAGAGTGGCTCTGCTGCCTCGTGCTGGGGTGTGTCACTGTGGGATCTGGCTGCACAGGGGTCCCTTTCACAGGGCCACACTGTGACATCATAGCTCCCTTTGTCGTTCTTTCCTCATCCAGCACTCTGTCTTGTCTTCCTGTTGTTTTCTTTCCATTTTCTGTCTTGCCCCCAGGGCCTGTGTCTCCCTGAAGGTTCCCCTTGAGCCCACCCTGCCCAAGGATCGGAGAGCAGGCAGCCCTCTCCACCTAGGCCCAGTGCCGCCGACTGAATTCCCCCCAGCTAGACTTGTAGGCATCCCTCCCTCCTTCCCCACTCCTTTCCTGCATCTTCCATTTCTTCTCATGGCCTCCAGACCATCACTGCTCATTCCGGGACCAGTGGGAAGGGCAGAGCTGAAAGGCACTGTGGATCCCTCAGATTCCTTCCCCGGCCCCTGCAGTGCTTGAGGGCCCCCACTGGGGCTTCCAAGCTCTCAGTAACTCAGGGGCTCCTCAGTGCTGTGTCTGAGGGTCTCAAGGGAAGAGAACTAACACACTGATCTTTTCTCTTCTCTTGCAAATCCCAGGCAGGAAAACTAAGGGCCAGAACTGGAGGATCTGAGGACCCCCTCAGCTTGAGTAGCCCTCCAGCCCTCTCAGGGCTTGGCTCAGGATGGGCATGTGGGCTCCTTGTGGGGCAGTACTCAGAAGGGGTTCTAATGTGTCAGAGCTGTGCCCCTGCTCCCCAAGACATGATGTGACATTGTCACCAGGGTCCTGACACGGTGCCAGGAAGGGCGTGAGGGAGGCACTCAGCAGCTCCGGCCCCGTGGTGGGCCCTGACCCATCAGGAAGTCAGGCTGGCCCTGGGCCACACCTGTCAGGCCCTCTGCAAAGACTTGCTGGGGACCATTGCTGGAGATTCCCAAAAAACTCACAGGCTAGCTTGCCTTTGACCTTGGAGAACTCTGAGAGGCCCAGCCCTGGGAGAATCCAGAGCACAGGAGGCAGGGACTGTATATGTGTGTTGACAAGGTCCCAGGCTGCCACCAAACCCAGAAACTGCTGTGGGCTGAGGAAAGCACGCCTTTTCAGGTGAAGCAGCAGAAACAAAACCCATTTCTGTGGGCAGAGGCGCTGGGTGCTGCCCACTGGAGTGCTGGCTTTTCCTTGGGACGCTTGGAGCCTGACAGCCCTCTGTTGGGGTTGTGAGTGGCAAGGCCGGGCCTTGTGTGCTATAGGGGCTGTGCGTGTGCATCCTGATATAAAGCCGTGGTGTGTGCAGTGGTGCGTGTGTGGGGGGTGGGGTGGGTAGGGCACCAGGGGTGTGGACTGGGAATTGTGGGTAAGGTGGAGTGACGTGCTGTTGGGGATGGTAGGTGTGACTGTGTGTGCTGAGCATGTAGTGCTTGAGGCTGTGACTGTGGGTGTGTGCAGTTGGCTGTGTGTGTTTGGAGTGCAGGGTTGGCTGTTTCTGAGGTTGTGAGGTTGTGTGGGTGAGTGTGAGACTGTGTGTGGGGTTGGAGGCTGACTGATTGTATGGGTGTGGCTGCATGCTTGGTTGTGCGTACTTGTTGGTTTTTTCCCTCCTCATCAAGCAGTAGTGCACCGGGTCAGTTGTGCGTTTTGCCACTGGAGTGGTTATAGTTTTAAACTGGGGTGGCTGTCCCCTTGTAGGTGGAATTCATGATCCCTTTCATGCCAGAAGGTGCTGGCCTGGCTGGGGTGGCTGGGCACAGGCGCCACTTCTGTGGCATGCGCAGGTACCCTTGGTGTGGTTTTCCAGTCTCTGTTGCCCTGCTTTGGGCACTCAGTGCCAGGGTGTTACCAGGATGTCAGCAGCCTCAAAATTAGAGCACTTCGAATGTAGAAAGGTACCATCTGGTCATTCAGTCTCTCAACAAACCTCTACTGGGTGCCTGCTCTACCTAAGTATCACCTCAGTTTAGTCCTCACAACAACCTGGGGGGGGGAGACTCAGGTATCATTAACCTCATTTATGGTGGAGAATACTGAGGCTGACATCTAGGAAGCAGCTCGCTGAAGGCTGCGTGGTGCCTGAGGAGCAGAGCAGGGATTTTGTCCCCAGAAGCTGTTCCAGAGTGACTCAGGGCCAGTGGGCTGCCCATGAGACAGTGACAGTGCCTACTCGAGGCTGCTGAGAACACAGACATGTCTAGAATAGGGCTGGGCTCTGGGTGGTTTCTTTTGCTGTTTTCCAGCATATTCTCAGGAAGGGGGCTGGGGTGCCTGGCTGGAGTCCCACCTTTTCTTTCCGAGGCACACCTCTTTCATCCTCATTCATTCCCCAAGCATTCACAGGGCCCTTGAGCATGACGGCTGTGCACTCACTGAGTGCCAGCTGCCATATTTGATGTAGTGCAGTCTTTACAAGCTCCCTGTAGACAGCTGGGTGTGCCCATCTTACTGATGGGGAGTTGAGGTGCAAGGAAGTGGAGTGGAGGACCAGCCCGTTGCCTTAGAGCTGGTGCCTTCTCTTCCTGCAGTTTTCCCAAGAGACTCTCAGGTCTCTGAGTCCCAGGACGCTGGGGAACAGAGGAAGAGGTCAAAGGGAGGGTGGCTATAAGGGCAGGCAGAGGGGTTGGGGTTGCTGTCCCCCAGCTGTCCCGGTTTTCTCCAGGCCTGGGATCTCTCTGGGATCATCCCAGGCCCTCCCTCAGGGAGTCGGACAGGGTGAGAACCATGGAGTTCTGAGGACCTGGGCACCTAGCACAGTTTCATGTGAGGTTTCAAAGGTAAAATTACCATCTGGGGCTCAGGGAGTGGAGAAGGGGAGACACAAGGAGCCTCCACCTCCTCGCTCTTTTAGCTCTCTGTGCTCTGGGAGAGGCCACAGATGACCACAGGAGAGGACAGAAGGGCTTTCAGACCCTGGGCCCTCCTGCTGCTGTCCTGTGTGGCTCTCTCACTCTTGCAGCACCAGCGGGAAGGTGCAGGGCTCCAAGCTGCTCCCTGCCCAGTTGGAGCCAAGCCCCCCCCCCCCCACCGCCCCTCTGCACAGGAGGACCTGGCCGCTCCAGCGGCCTCTCCCAAATGCCCTCCCTGCTTCTCTGAGCAGCTTTTCTCCCCCGATGTGCTCTACTGCCTGTGCTTCATCCTCCAGGGCTCGGGTGCAGGAGCTGGGCTCTCAGAACCCATGGAACCCGGGCCTAGCCGGCTGTAGCCCACGGGTGGCTGACTGTGTTTACCTTTGCCTCCCCCAGAGAGTGCCGGCTGGGTTACAAGGGAGCAGGACATGGTGTCACTCATCACTCTACCCTCCTGAGGCTGGGACAGAGCAAGGGTTCCATGCGTGTTTCTTAAATGACTAAAGGATGTTGGGCTCAGGGAAGAAGCTGACTCTACTTACCCATTTCCTTGCTGGAGCAACTGAGGCTGAGAGGCCAGCAGGACACAGGGAAGGCTTGGCCCCGGCAGGGACCAGAAACCAGGACTCCAGACCACACCTTTGTTATTTTTCTTGCTTTTAAGAGCACCCTGTGCCCTGCAGGTGATTCATGTAATAGCATTTTCAAAAGCCTGTAATTTGCCTTAGTGCTCAGCAAGGCTCAGCCTCACATGAGCTGCTGCCACAGGCGAAGGCAATGCCGATCCAAGCAGGCAGCAGTGCAGGCCTGGGCGCCAATAAAGATCTGTGCTGGCTTCCTGGTTCCTTGCTGGCACCCGAGCAGGCATCTCTCCCACCTCGGGAGAGTGTGGCTTGTCACCCGAGGGTGTCTCGT